AGTAGAAAGCACTTAAAAGGAATCCCTGTACCTATGTCATTAACATTAGTTTTCAGACTACCTTAAAACTTTTTTGACAGTGTGTCACCATGGAAATGGCTGAACATTCCGCCAGTAGAGATGCATGTAGAACACTCCCAGCATGTGAAGTATCAATATCTACATGTACACCCACAAATACTGCAGAGAAAAAAAGGTAAAACAGTAAATTTAAGTGCAGGATTAGGACGCAAAGGAAAAACTGTATTGAAGAAATAATACAAAAACACATATTTATCCCTTTGTTATTAATTCAGCGATAATTATGTATACATGCCTATAATTTTCTTACTTTTTTCTTCTTTTTTTATTATTATTAATATTTTTTTCGTACAGTTTCTTTTAAAATAGCCATAGTTCTCATGTGTAATGATGCAGGTTGGATAAGAGAACCTTGAGAGCTCTTACAGAACTGGTGTCGCGCAGAGGAGATTGGGGTCAAGTGTGGCTGTTGTGTGAGCGTAAGAGGGGCCCACTGGCTTCTGAAGTTGACATTTGGGGGCCACTGCTTTGACAATAGATCTAAAAATCCAGTATGTCTCAAATAAATGGCCCCTATTATTTTATTTTCTAATCTACAGTTTGTTATAATGTTGTTTCATCATCACAAACAGACCTGGAGTTGTGTTTTGTTTCATTCACACATGTTTAACACACAAATCCTGCTTATATATTTAGTCTGAGTACTTCTCTCTAGCAGAAAACACTCTGTTCTTCATTGTGATGTCATGTGGTAATACAGGAAGTGCTCAGTGTTTTTAAACTCCATACACCTTCACTGAATCATTATTGGATGATTGAAAATGATGGGGTTACTTTGGTCTCATTAATATTCATAAATACACAGATGGTGATTTCCAAATAGTTATTGATTTGTACATGTGTTTTTATATCCACAAATGCAAAAAATTTATATTTGTAACTTGTATTTTGGTATTTACAAATAGATGTGTATTTGTAAATTTATCAAAAAAAAAATTTTCATTTGTAAAACTGAAAATTCTGTTTGTAAAATGTGATTCGCATTTGTGGGTGACCAGTTACATGAATCCAACTATTTCCGGTATGACGTAATTTTGAGAAACTCATTTTGAGAAATCCGCAAACTCAGACCGATTCACAAATACAGACACTTACTTGACCAGCAGGGGGCAGCAGCTGGCACGGGAAACATTTGACACTGCCAAAATAAAAGCGTCTCTTGCTAACTTAAAGGTTGTATGGAGGATTTTTTTTGTTTCAAATTGTCAATTAAAGTTTAAAATACCATTACAGAGACGCAGCAGCCTTGTATTATGATGACAAAAAAAAAAAGAATGAAAATTTATCAACTTGGACGTGTTGAGGCCAGATAAACATCAAATAGAAAACGAGGCTGCCTCTTTATCTATTGCTGTCAGGTCATCAATCAAACTCCCTACGTTTCTAGTGTAACTGACTCGTCGGGATGCGGGGATCACGTGGTTTATGCAGCGGTTCTTGAGGCTTTTTCAAACTGTCGCTTCCTCACATTTCGCACAAAGTTTGTTGCGACAGCCGACGAGAATCCACGACCGGTTCGCCGCAAAAGAAAAGTCGGTTTTTGAGGTCGCTGAAAGAAGAAGAGAAGGGGAAAAGGAGCGAAGACAAACCGAGTTGATTCTTGGAGATTCCTTCCAGCGATTGCGTGAATGAAGCGGACGAAGGGTCTAAAAACTGACGCGTCGGTTGCTAAAATATTCTAGACAGGTCATTTCACAGTAATTCTGAACGCGCACTGGCTGTAAAAAAAAAAACATGATTTTTAGAGTAAAGAGGCGGGAGAAGGTGTTTCTACTGAGGGAGCTGTGGAGGATGAAGGTGGTGTCACGCATGCACAACATTTGTAAAAGAACTGTCGCTGTATTTCTCTTCCCTTAAAAAAATCCTCTATACAACCTTTAACGTCACTTAGGCAAATGTTTACTTTTATCAAACGCCTCAGCAGCTAAGGACTAAACAAGAACTGAACCAGGACTGAACTTTTGCATTTGTTGGAGACGTGTGGAGACACTTTTTAAAACATTCCATCCAGTTGTTGTATTTGCAGAGGTCGCTGGTGCTAGACTAGTGCATGTCAATGGCCATAGTTATCCTGCCACTAAAAACATTCTTACCCACTCCACAAAACACCCGAAGCAAAACTATTATTACGCCAGACTGTCGATGTAAATGTCTGTGTTGATAGAATAATGTTTGAAATAAAACTAACCTTGCATTGCATGAATCGTCACATGTTGAGGGACTATTTTCTCATGTATCAGTCCGCCGCTGCTGAGCTTTCTATCAGGAAGAAGTGGATGGTACGGGGTGGTCTGTATTTTGTGGATTCCGGCCATTTGACAGAGTTCGCTGATTGTGTGCGACTCAAAATCAGGATCTTGGTCACTATGGAGGCGTTCTGGGATGCCGTAATGGACCAGGAAATTGTGGCAACTGTCTTGGCGGTCTGATTTGGAGTGGGAACTGCTACAGCGTATTTCATGAAGTGATCTATTACGACAAGTACATTCTTGGTATTGCTCCGATCTAGCTCTACTGACAGGAAGTCCATACAAACAAGTTCGAGAGGTCTGGAAGTCTTGATATTGACAAGTGATTCA